AGAAGGCTTCCAAGAGTAGGCCAAAATCAATGAGTTTCCTTTGGTGTTTGAAATGTGTTGACATTTGCTTCTTTCGGCCTTCCGACGGCCCGAGACGGCCCAAAAGCCCCCAAAGATCGTCCCAAGATCGCCCAAGAGGCCTCCAAGATGGCCTCAGGACTGCCCAAGATGCCCCCAAGACGGCCCCAAGAGGGCCCCCAGACGGCCCAAGAGGCCTCGAAGACGCCCGAGGAAGCCTCTAAGACCCCAAGAGGGCCCCAAATCGGCCCAGAGAGGCCCCCAAGACGGCTTCCGTCTGCGTCAGACAGGCCAGGAGCCCACCAAGACGGCTCAAGATGGCTCCAAGATGGCCCAAGACGGCCCAGGAGGCTTCCAAGAGGGCCTCCAGGAAGGCCCGAATATGCCGAAATCATTGATTTTCCAACGGTGCTTGAAGAAGTCTAGTTTTTGCTCCGTTTCGGGCTTCCGACGGCCCAAGAGGCCGTCAGCATCGCCCAAGAGCTCCCAAGAGGCATCCAAGATGGCCTCAGGACGGCCCAAGGGGCTCCCAAGACGGCCCCCAAAGGGCCGCAAGGCCGCCTCCAAGATGCCCAAGATGGCCTCCAAGACGGCCCTGGAACACCTCAAGAGGGCCCCAAATCGGCCCAGAGAGGCCCTCAAGATGGCTTCCGACGGCGTCAGACGGGCCAGGAGCCCACCAAGACGGCTCAAGATGGCTCTAAGATGGCCCAAAACGGCCCAGGAGGCTTCCAAGAGGGCCTCCAGGAAGGCCCGAATATGCCAAAATCGTTGATCTTTCAACGGTGTTTGAAGAAGTCTAGTGTTTGCTCCGCTTCGGGCTTCCGACGGCCCAAGACGGCCCAAGAGGCCCTCGCCCAAGAGGCCTCCAAGAGGCCTCCAAGATGGCATCAAGACGGCCCAAGAGGCTCCCAAGGCGCCCCCCAAAGGGCCGCAAAACGGCCTCCAAGATGCCCAAGATGGCATCCAAGACGGCCCTGGAACACCTCAAGATGGCCCCAAATCGGCCCAGAGAGGCCCCCAAGATGGCTTCCGACGGCGTCAGACGGGCCAGGAGCCCACCAAAACGGCCAAAGCGGCCCCCCAAAGGCCCCCAAGAGGCACAAGGAAGCCCTCAAGATGCCTCCAAGAGGCTCCCAGGAAACTCCCAGGAGGCCACAAGAGTGTCCCCAGAGGCTCCCAAGATGCCCCCTCCTCCTCCTCCTCCTCCTCCTCCTCCTCCTCCTCCTCCTCCTCCTCCACCGCCTCCTCCTCCTCCTCCTCCTCCTCAGTCGCCTTCTCCTGCTATTCCCCGCCATCCTCCCCCAGGTGTTCCCCGAAGGGTTTCCACAACACTTGGCGGAAGACATGGTCCGATAGCTTGGCAGGGCTATTGCCACAACGCTCGGCCACATGGGCGATTCTGAAGGCAAGGGGGCGGCGGTGATTCGCCGCAGGCGTCTTCGATCCACCGCCCCCGTGTGTCTTGCCACAGGGGTGCACGGCGTCTGGCAACGCTGCCACCTGCAATCCCCGAGGAGGAGGAGAAAGAGGAGGAGGAGGAGGAGGAGGACGAGGAGGAGGAGGAGGAGGAGGACGAGGAGGACGAGGAGGAGGAAAAGGAGGAAGAGGAGGAGGAGGAGGAGGAGGGGGAGGAGGAAGGGGAGGAGGTGAACGTCTGGCAATGATTCCAAGCTTTGGGGAAAAAAACTCCCCGTGGGGCTTCGGCGCAGCCCGCCGACCAACCGGAAAATGCAGTCCACTGGTGTTCGGCTCCTGGAGGGTCTCCACGGCGGCCAAGGTGGCCTCCAAGCTAATCGCAAGACGCCTCCAAGGCGGCCCAGGTGGTCGCAAGAGAGCCCACGATGGCGCCACGACGTCTTCAAACCTGCCCAAGATGCAGACCAGACGGCCCGAGATGGCCTCAAGATGGCACAAGACGGCCTAAGGTGGCCCCAAGAGGCCTCCAAGACGGCCCGGGAAGCCTCAGAGAGGATCCACAGGAAAGCCCGAAGAGGCCAAAATCATTGAGCTTCCAATGGTGTTTGAAGGACTTTAGTTTTTGCTCCGTTTCTGGCTTCCCACGACCCAAGATGGCCCAAGTGGCAATCAGCATCGCCCCAAGAGCTCCCAAGAGGCCTCCAAGATGGCCTCAGGACGGTCCACGAGGCTCCCAAGACGGCCCCCAAAGGGCCGCAAGACGGCCTCCAAGATGCCCAAGATGGCCTCCAAGACGACCCTGAAGCACCCCAAGAGGGCCTCAAGACGCCCCAGAGAGGCTCCCAAGACGGCTTCCGACGGCGCCAGACGGGCCAGGAACGCCGTAAGGCGGCCAATGGGGCCCCCAAGAGGCCCCCAAAGGCCCCCAAGAGGCCCAAGGAGGTCTCAACAATGCCTCCAAGAGGCCCCCAAGAAGCCCCCCCAAGGCTCCAGAAAGGCCCAAGGAGGCCCCAGAGAGGCCTCCAAGACACTCGCAGGAAGCACCCAGGAGGCCCCACGAATGACCCAAAAAGCTCCCAAGAGGTCTCCTCATCCTTCTCATCCTCCCCCTTCTCCCTCACTCTTCTCATCC